TTTATCAACACGAATCTCATACATGCGATAAACGGCAACTAATGTGTTGAAACATGACACTGCACAGTCATACTGGCGCTTTAACCATATCTTATAACAAGCAACCCACATTGATCAATGATATGATATCGATCAAAGTTACCGGTACACTTCCTTACTTTCATGAACCTTTGGCCATTATCTGCTTAGCTTGGGGTGTCGTCATATTGTTCCACAAGGGCATTTAAAGTCAATGTCATTGTTATTGTATTTGGATTCAGATTTTGTATTTACAATTAAGTTTGTATTCAAACTTACTTTTAAAGTTCCGACCCCGAGAGCTAAAATCGTCAGAGGCTGTCAAGCATATACTTGCGTTGGTGTTTTGACCTTAAAATCCCTGGCACGTAACATTGTGTTGTCGCCATTCACTAGTAACTATTTAGAAAATCAGCGTTTATAGATGCGATATAAATGAAAACATATATTTTTTGTTAATATTGTTGTTAATTGTTTAATACTATGACTAATATGTTTAATATTATGACTAACCCTAAACTAAAAATGCTGCATTATTGCAGGATACACCACATATTCATTAGATAAAAAATCAAAACCACTGTTATTGTACATGTACGTACCAAAATAACCAGTGCACATGCATATTATAAAATGTTGTCCTTCCATCAAATAAATTCTCAGATTTTGATACAAGAATAGCATTTTCATAATATACATCATAGTCTAATGTATCTATCAATGCGTAGTATTAATCATTAATATTCAAAATTAAATGTTTTATCGTCTATATTGCTTATTCAATACATCACTATGCTGTATATATTAGGAAGAACGAACTCAGAGGTCGGTATTTACGGCACATCACAACCAGATCAAAACTTGCATTCACACTCATCACTGGTACTGGTGCATTGGGTTCTGGGAAATACACTGTTTATCAACATAAATTTTGTACGTGTGCTTGGCGACAACAGCGTGTGTTGTAAACGTTACAATTTCGAACATGACGCAGCTCAGACATTGTAATGCTTTCAGGTAACCAGAACAATAACGGCCAAAATTTATCAAACGTATACATTTTTAAAAAAGCATTTAAATGTTTTTGGTTGTGTGTGTTTTTTTTGGAATCAGATGACAGAACAAGTCAGATGATATAAAGTATGGTGATTAAGAATTGGATTTTATATCATTTGAAAAGTGATGTGTGAAATATATTCAGAACAGAAAACAGCATTCAGAACAGTAAAAATGCATATCAGTAAAAATTATTCTAATTGAGAAAATTGTTGATTGTAGAAAGTCAACTTATTCCATTTTATCAAATTTGTTCCCAGCGGAAATGTTCACTGAAGTAAATAAATATAAATGCACAAATAATACAATGAAATGCAATCACAATTGTTCAAGAGGTAATTGAAGTGAACTTGTTGATTTCTGGCAAGAGTCAAAATACAAAATAGCTGCAATGAAATGTTTGTGGGACAGGTCAGAGGTCAATTCCTCTTAAATTGGAGCACACTTTAAATAATTATAGTACTGAGAAGAAAAATGTGAGTTTTGGTGAAAACATCTATTTATTGACCAATAATGTAGTAAACAATGCTTAACCTAGCAATTGCCCCCTGGTACACAGTTCAATTGTAGATCGTTACGAAAAACTGGTGATTAATTTCTAAACCGTTTTTTCTGCCATTGTTAGTGTACATGCCATCAGATGCAGTACATTTTTTTTTTTTTTCAACATGCTTCTAAGTATAAGTGTCAATTTTTTTTTCTCTCTTGGAGTGTGATATTTTTTGGTGGAATAGATTATTTTCATTTTTGATTTACATGTACTTGGGACAGAGCAAATAACCTTAACAACGTGTCAGAGTGTTAAGTTTAACAACTGTAACATGGCTGCAGATTACGTAAACCCCTATAACTATGGGGTAAAAAAAAATGTGCTAAATTCACAACACAAAATAATATTTTTGTCCTGTTTTTTGTGAGTTTTTAATGAACAAGTGGATTGTGATTGCTCAACCGATATGCTTGATGTGATGAGAACGTTTTAGGGGGACCACCTGCTTCCGATGGATATCCCAATACACAACAACCAAGTGTCCCAAGTACGGGAGATTTATGTCTCATTGCGCGCTCCGATTCTTTTCTCTGCTGTCTTCTCCCTTCACAGTTTGTGTTTTTTTTTTTTGTTAGCTTCATCTATTGACATAGGTTTTTCCCAGGAGGGTCATGTAGGTGCACTCGGGGAGAAAAACATTCATTTTGGCGTTTTTTTTCTTCTCCTAAAATAAACATATTAGTGACAACTTTGCTTGAGGCATCACAGTACAAATGACAGTGCAGGTCAGAGGGGGGAGGTGGGTTATTGAAACGTTTGCATCGGTTCTATTACGAGCTTACAAATGAATCAGTTTGTTCACAAAATGCCATTTGCTCGGCTTTTCTTGTTATTTATGGAAAAAAAAGGAATGCCCTCGTGTACACAAGCTGGAAAAATAAAGCACAGCGCACAAAAGGGAAAAACAAATGTTTAGCTTATAGTGTTGCGAGTGCCGCTAGTCTGTCACAGTACAGGGCTTTTATTTGCTTATTTAGAAACCCTGTACTGATCGTCGATAGTAGAAAATAACCAAATTTTGATTTTGTATGTTTGCACTCGTGACAGACCAAGCATACTCTTTAATGATTGGCATTTGGAATGTTGTTAGCAAGCACTGATTAGCGGTTATTTTTGTTTCCCGTCATACGCTTTTTTACAGTTGGTAAAACTATCAATGAAATTCAGGTTGAATTTATGTTTCAACTTTAGTTTAGTATTTTTGCTTCAAAATCTATTGCCAGATTACAGGGAATTCTGTTCTCTGTTTACATTTTGCAACTAGAAATGTTCGTAAATTTCCAAAGAACATGTCACAGCTATGATATTGCAATATCCTCTTAATTTTTTTTTTTTAAATGTGAAAATTGTATTTATGTAAGTATGTTTTTTCATTCAGCTAGTGACAAAAAAAAAAGTTTTCGATCAAACAGAGCCAGGCAAAATACAAAGTCAAGATAGTAGTACTGTGAGTGATATTTCATCTGTCACAGAGAACGGAAAGAAAAGATACAAAAAAAAGTAGGAAGCCATCAATCAGTTTGGCTGCTTAGCAACCTTAATCCTGATCCTAGTTGCCGTAGCGCACTCACAGAGCAATTGATTTGAATCCGGGACAAACAAAATCTGCGGTGCAAATGTCATCGCCCTCTGTTGTGTCGTTCAGTAGCTCCTCCCGAAGCTTTGTATCGAATTCTTTCACCAATCTCAACTGTAACCATGGCGGGTGAGTGAATCAATAGATGATGCAAATACAGAGCTGGAAGAATGGCATTCTGTGGTTGGCTATTATGTTTGTGCTAGCGGTTCCCACAGTTTTCCCCTATATAGGTCAATAGTGTTAACCATGTGATACCACAAGGTCACTTCAAGACAGTTTGCTTTTACACCACTTTGATGTCATAGTGGATGGAGTGTAAAACAGGTTTATCACAGTCATTGTTACGTGCATGTGTGTGATTTTATAAATTCTACTCAATTTATGCTCCCCTAAGTTACTGACCTCAGTAACTTCAAAACATTATATAGTTTTACAGTATCCCCCTTCATGTCTACAATTTTACAAAACCGGATTCTTTGTACATTTTGTATCCAAGCAACAGGTGCCGATCAGTTTCCCGCCAAAACTACTAATACCAATAAAGTTGTTGTTTTTATAGTTTCTTGCTGAGATGTTTGATTAGTATTACCGGTAAACACTGAAAAATTGCAAATTTGTAGAACAAATGCTTTTGAAGTTTGTGAATTAGTCATTTTTTATTTTATTTAATTTTTTTTTTAAACATCCCCAGGTGTATGTTTGTAACTCTGAATTTGTGTGGGTGTGTGAGGGAGGAATAGTGGGAGGATTTGAATTTTGTGGGCTTCATAACTTCAAGTGGTACTCAACATTGCATGCATTTATTTAGGGGGATGAATTTTTAACGGGCATTCAAGTTTGTGTACTTCTCCAGTTGGTGTCTGCCATTCACTCATTGAAAGGAAAAAAAAAGAACCAACGAAAACAAAAATTTTATTTCTAAGACTTAAAACCTGAAGGAGCTGAATTCCATGCTTTATCAGGTCCATAATCGCATTCCGTAGACGACAATACAAAGCATTTTGCTTGACAAGTTCTCATGAAAGCTAAACCGGTGACATTGATGGTGAGACATCAGTCATGTGTAATTCCGGTTTCACCAATAGCACTAAAGTTGATTTTAACACGTCGTCGTACATTAGGCGCCAAATGCTGATGTCAACACGTGGAGTAAAATATGTTCTACTATCAGTGCGTTAATTTTTCCCGCCAAAATTTTTTAACAGCATTTTGAAAATTTTTAGTTTTTTATGCTTGAATCAAATGAAAATAATTTCTCTTGGCTACAGGTCTTGATAAAATTTTGAACATTTTTTTTTTTTATTTTGTGAATTTTAATAACAGATGACCTCAGCGATGAAAAGAATAAAAGAAGATTTTAATTTCTATATTTCTATGTTTAACAGTATGTTGAAAATTATAATTAATGATGCCCAAATTATAACGAATTGTGTTTTGCACTGGTCTAATATACATATTCGCATTGATATTTCCAATAATCATTACATTCACTTGCTTAGTCAGTTGCTGTATACAGAGGAAAAAGCTGAAAAAATAGTTTTAGAAAACAAGTTGCAACATCAGAATTTGGCGGGGGGGGGGGGGGGGGGGCAAGTAGACAAATAGATGTGTCGTTTTCTACCATGACAAATTGTCTAGTCTATCACTTTCTGACCACATAAACTGTTGTTTGCGCTATGATCAAAATGATCAATATAAACAGTGCTTGTAAAATTTTAACAAAATTGGGATACTTTAACATTTGAGGACTTTTTTCTTAAATTATGAAATTTATCAATATTTCTTGTCTGTTTGTAGGCATGGAGGGGTTACCATGGCAATGTCTATTTTGAACCTCTGCAGTGTAAGAGAATGGAGACGGCACCGTCGCTGAGAGACAAGTCCTACTACAACTCTGTCTTTGTCAAAAGTAGAGGATCCCGGTCGGTTACGTTTTCACCAAAGAAAGAGATATTAAACCGGCACCAGTACAAGAGAGTGACGACCAAGAAACCTGGCTCTCGACAAATGGCAATACTCGATAAAACGTCGGTGATACAAAGGATGGATGAAAACGTGCAGGAGGACGTGCGGTGGATTAGCGGTTTAGAGTCTGTGGGTAGTCTGAGAGTAGGCAGTGTAGGGTCGGCAACCTCACGCTCAAATCCTGATCGGTCGGATAAAATGAAAATATGTCGTGGGTTTGTTAGTCATTCTACATCGCCTAGATTTCAGAATCTACCCGTGGTACCTCTAAAAGGCGGTGGAATCACGCACTCGGTGTCCAAAAGCGAGTACCTGCAATCACCATACCGTGGTAACAGTAGACAGGGCCTCAACAACAGCAACATGTCACCAGAACTGTACAGGTATCCAGACAGTTCACCAGCACAATTGGATAAACTGAAAGCAAGTCTACAAAACATGGAGCGTTCACGTGAAATGGTGTTCAATATTCCACCGTATCCCGGTATCCCACTTGAAGAATCCACTCCAAGATCACAAAAACCTGAGGCAAGTGACTTGCAAGTCACTGCAAGATGAAAAAAAAAAATATATAAAAATCAATTATCTTAAACCTATCTACAAAATAATTCCCTGCATTCATTTCTTCTCTAATAGAATCAGTAGAAATGTTGTTGGATCTAATGATGAAATAGGTATGGGGTAACGATAAGTGTACATATTGCTGTATATTTCATGTATTTAAATAAATAACAGAATTGTAATCACAAATTTTATAACTTTTGTTTGTGATAGTTTGCAACCAATACTGTACTGGAATTCTTTTTAAAATTGGTTGAGACCATTAGAAACTATTGGGGGAGGTGGCAGGTTTTCTGTGCAATTTATTTGTTACTTCACTCAGTTTTCATCTATTCACGGAGGCGGAGCTACGGAATATTCTATGTTGCTTGGACGAGCACTGCTATACAATGTATTTCTCTAGACTCTGTGTGAGCTGCTGTGAACGCCAGTCTAGGAGCCGTTGAAAACAGCTAAAGTCAAGAAAACACCTCAAATTTAAGGCAATCCTGAACAACCAAATTTATAAGTGTTGCACATGTAGGGATAGTTTTGTTGCGCTGTTAGGGAGAGTTTCAACAACTATTCTAAAGTACAGTTTTCTGAGAGTTTATCATCGGTGAAAATGCTGGACTGTTCACTCCTGAGAATACTGTTTTTTCATATTTATCATGTTGCTGTAACTTTTTTAATGATTTTCTCTGTGAATTTTTTTTTATACAGATCTTCTTTTCAAAATTTACCATCCAGTTTCTAATGGTTAAAACCCGCGACTATTTTTGTTAAGTAACAAATTCAACCATGTTGTAGACTCAGGGAATAACTCAACCAGCATGTTTATGTGGCTTGCATTCACGATGTACTTCATAGAGTTAATTTTAAACCGATTTTCTTACTGAGAAAAATAAGCACTAATATTTTAACAAATGAAGGATGATAGAGGTTAATTGATAGACGACTAGGCTCCTGTTAACCTTTCATCGGGCATCAATGCCGAATTAGTAATTATACCACTGCTGATGTCGCTCCAATAAACGATTTGTGGGTTTCATGTACATGTGATGTACAGTTTGATTACGTCAGTTATGATGCAGTTTCGTTTCAAGTTCGTGCATGTTCGATGCGCGTGATCATGTTTACTCAAGTTTGTACAAAGCGACTGCACATTTTCAAAGTCCACTGTACTTATAAGTTGAAAGTTTATCTGCGAACATTTGATGTTTCATCACATTGATATTATCTTGTCTTAGTTATTTAATAACAATAGATTGGGAACAAGAATGACAATATGCCGAAAAATTATGACATATTTTGACAAAAATACTATGTGACGCAGAAACCAGTAAAAGGTCTATCAGAAACTATTCTAAGAAAATGGTTGAACATCAGGAAAATTTAATGTTTAATAAGTCTGTATCTCAGTAGTGTATTTATATTTTGCTACATGAATTGCAAAAATATCATATTTTTTCTACGGCCAATTATGACTTAATGACATGATTTGCTCAGAAAAACAATGTTTAAATAATTTGACGCTCAACGGAAGCCTGGGATGGTAGCGAAGATTCTTGCCAATGATATTAAGAATGTATTAAGTAGCCAACTCTGTTGATTTTTTATTTGCGATAATACACAGCAATGTGCAATTTCAATATATGTATATATATATATATTTTTTTTAAACTTAGATTTCATTTTTTTTTTTTGTTAAGATATGAATTAGAGAACTTGTATTATTGACGGCTGGTTTCGATTGTAGTTAAATACATTTTAGTTTATCAAGTGAATAAAATTATCATTCAACAGTAATGGTGATCGTTTGATTTCAGTTATGTTGTCTCCATGAATATGCATGAGGCTTTTCAATTCAGACAAACGAAACAATAGTCAAAATCTCGAATGAGAGTCGTATTTACAACTGTTGTGGCGTTGACATAATTTTGCAATGTAGTTCAGGTAGTACATTTTTCTTTGATTCATAACATATCACTGAAAAGCCACAACTTAAGTAATGCAGTCTGGGATTACGCTTTGGAATAACATTGTATGATTTTACATCAGTTTTATTTTTTGTAATACCTCGTAATCTTGACCAGTGCTATTATGCAAAAACCATTTCATTTTTAAAATAGAGCAGAAGTTTTTGTGTATCCCTTTGAACACCATTCTCCCTCCTCCTAAAAAATTTAGTGCAACTTTTAGCACATTTTTATGTATTTCTTATGTATTATGTTAATTTTTTTGTTAATTAACATAATTTTTTTATTGGCTGCAGGTCTTTATCAAAACAGTTGAAAATATTTGAAAACAAAAATTAGTTACTTTTTTGAGAGATAACAAAGCTGACCATGGGATTCAAATGGTCGAAATCCTGCTTAATTTCAGTGAAATCTATGAATTCTAACTTTATGAAATATGAATAACATTTGTGATAGCTTCCTACCCTTCATACAAAATGGTCTAATCCATTTCTACCTGAATTTATCTCCTGAAAGGGGAATGGGTTGCCTTGGCTTCTAGTCACATGACACAAGCCATTGACCTTTTCATCCTGTAGGCATTATTAAAACTTGCACGTGGTAAATAGGTGTACGACAGTTGTTTGTATGAAATAAGTGGATATAATTATAAGTGTCCTATCCATCGTCGGCAGGGACTCAGTACACCTAAGTAACGAGAATTGATAAGGTATGTGAGATTCAGTTCAATTTTTGATTGACACGTAGATCATGTTTATTTGATTTGCATAATATGGTAATTCATTACCAGTGTAAAGATGTACAAATTTAGTCCCTCGGCTGTATTTCATATCCCTACACTTGAGAATGGTAAACTCCAAAATGTAAACAAATGTCATTGGTCGGAAGTGTTTTGGCATGTACCACTCTTGTATTAGGGGATGTATGTTTATTTCGGAGGGACTACATGAATGAGGAATATCCCACTTTTATTGAATGGTGGCGTCATTAATGGAACCTTCCAGAAACTGGGCATTTGAGCATCGTGGTGTCATTGATTTGTGTGAAACTTATTTTTATTACCAGCATATACCTGAAATCGTCTGCTATAAATTGAATTGTGTTCAGAATAGGTTCCATGTAACATTTACAAGCCATGTAACATGCATTGTTTGTTTATACTAAATGTACGTGTCATTTTAATAAGTTGCCATTATTCTTACACAAAGCCAATTATAAATTGGTCAAAGTCCTGAAATATAGTCAATGACAATGAATATAATCTTTTGTCATGTGACTCTTTCTGTTTGCATTACTGCTGAAAACTGCATGAAATAATGGCCTTTCCTATTTGCATAATTGCTCATTTTACACAAAATAATGTTCCTTTAATTTCTATAATGGTCTTTTACATTAAATAAACATTGCATAGAGCCCATTACTATTGAATAGTGTTCCCTTAATTTGCATAGTGATCCCTTTTAAAAGAAATAATGTTCCCGCAATTTTCATAATGGTTCCTTTTACATAAAACAATGTTCACTTAATTTGCATGGTGGTTCCTTTTAAAAGAAATAATGTTCCCTTAATTTGCATGGTGGTTCTATTTACATGAAATAGTTCTCTGTTAATTTGCATGGTGGTTCCTTCTACATAAAATAATGTTCCCTTAATTTGCATGGTGGTTCCTTCTACATAAAATAATGTTCCCTTAATTTGCATGGTGGTTCCTTCTACATAAAATAATGTTCCCTTAATTTGCATGGTGGTTCCTTCTACATAAAATAATGTTCCCTTAATTTGCATGGTGGTTCCTTCTACATAAAATAATGTTCCTTTTATTTGCATGGTGGTTCCTTCTACATAAAATAATGTTCCCTTAATTTGCATGGTGGTTCCTTTTACATAAAATAATGTTCCCTTAATTTGCATGGTGGTTCCTTCTACATAAAATAATGTTCCCTTAAATTGCATGGTGGTTCCTTCTACATAAAATAATGTTCCTTTCATTTGCATGGTGGTTCCTTCTACATAAAATAATGTTTCCTTAATTTGCATGGTGGTTCCTTCCACATAAAATAATGTTCCCTTAATTTGCATGGTGGTTCCTTCCACATAAAATAATGTTCCTTTCATTTGCATGGTGGTTCCTTCTACATAAGATAATGTTCCCTTAATTTGCATGGTGGTTCCTTCTACATAAAATAATGTTCCCTTAATTTGCATAGTGATCCTTTTTAAAAGAAATAATATTCTCTTAATTTGCATAGTGACCCCCTTTAAAAGAAATAATGCTTCCTTAATTTGCATGGTGGTTCTATTTACATGAAATGATGTTGTTTAAATTAACATAGTGGTATAGTTCCCTTGAGTTTCCGCAATTTGCATATTAGTTTTTCATATTCCCTAGGGCTCCTTTCACAAAATACTGTTTCCTGCAGTGCACAGTTTTTAGATTTGCATAAAATAATGTTTCCACAAATTACAAAAATAAAATAAAGTCCCCATATTTTGCAAAATGCCATTTTACATATCATGGAGTTCCTTTATTACACAATGCCCTTTTACATTAAATAATTAACCAACAATTTACATTCCAATTAAATAAATTGTCTGCTCACATGGTTGTGTATCCGTTTATCCCTCTATGCAGAAACACCTTTCTGAAATATTGCACTTTAAAAATGATTGAATATTGTTGAATAACCTGCTTCCATAATTTTTGTATTTGACATAAAATATTTTACTTTTACCCTGGGGTGAAAGTATGACTAGTGCGCCCTCTTGTGTTAGAGTTGCGTAATATATCATCGCAAGTCATGATGACGCTGTAGTCGAATCAGCGATTACGTACTCATTTACTAAGTGTTACCAGTCATGGTCCTTCGGCCCACGTCATCTTATGCCTCGGGCCCACGGCCCTCGATGGTTGGCCGGACCAACTAATTTTTGCTTCTTACGGCCTTGCCGGGTATCTGTTTTGGATCGAGCCCGGCGGTGGCATTATTTGGGTAAATGGGTACCCAATCTTGTTTCCGATTTTCACTGAGGATTTTCATT